CAATCAGATGAACCATGATATTAACAAATGGCAGAGTAGGTAAAGGGATTGAATGGCCTACTCCTAATTCATGTGTTAAACACAGATGGTCAGTGAAGCCTAAGAACAAGAGACTGATTGAAGAATTGCATAAAAACTGCCTCCTATCATCTGAGCTCATGTGCAAAGCTTGCATTCACTACAAACAGGCAGGAGAAAGATCTTTTTGTGAAACTTTTTTGTGGGCAGTTTTATTGCATTAGTCAAGGCTCAAGGTCATCTGACTGTCTTCTCCAGTTGGGGAGGCAAGACAGGAAGATAAATAAAACACTCCTAAAATAAACTGTCCAAACTGGGAATCAGTAGCTCATCTTAACTGTTCTGGGCTGTCTACACTTAAATCATTTAGAACTGACACACACCACTTTCTCCCCCTTTCATAAAAATGCCCAAAATAGCTGAGATATCTTAGAAATAGACTTCCTGTGACCGATTCAGATTGAAGTGATGTGAGTGCCTTCAAGAAGGCAATCTATAGAACGATTTGCCAGTTCTGAAGAAAAATCATATCAGATTCAAAATGTTAATTTTGTTTCTGTCTCCATGGATGCTGCCAGACCTATGAATTTCTCCTGCATTTCCAGGTTTTTTTGTTGAATATTTACCGGTACTTGTTGCAAGCTCACCTGATATGTAGAGGTAGAAAGTCCAAAAAACAAAAACAGCCAGCAAAACCAATTTTAGAAAGCATGTAGATATACATCTTAATTGCTACTTGTCTTTTCACTGGTGGATGAATTTAGAAACACAGTTGAAGAACCAGATGATCCTTGGCTGATTTACCTGGATCCTGAGTAATGTAAAGTCATAACACAAAGAATTCTCTTAATTTTGTGACAAGCCAACAAAGCAGTTTGTTTCTTGATGACTTCTACACCGCATCTGTAATCCCATTAGCACAGACATCCCCTTTTGGCATTTGCTCATATACCAATTACATTATCAAGGCAGAAATCTCCCTATTAATCTTAGCTAAAATAAGTAAGATGACTTTAAAAAAAAAGTCATGTTGGTGCACTCTCTCAGGAAATCACTTTTTTTCGGCTGTAAGGAAAAATATACTTAACTGACCTCAGCTGGTCCATAAAATCAGTGTAAAACATTTCTTCTCAATGGATTTTCTTCATGTCCTGTCTTTATTGAGGCACTAACTGAGGATACCATATCCGGAATCAAATTTACTTAAGCGATAAGAAAGTTAACATTTTGACGGCTTGATCATAAAACTAAAATTGTTTAACCATCGAATGGGGTAAAGAACAAATAACTGCAAATGTTGAATATGAACAATGTAGCTTCTGGAAATATTTAGCAGATGAGCTAGCACGAATGGACAGAAAAAAAAATCAAAATATTTCCAGTGTAAAGAATTCTGAATTTTTGATGAAGGTGCTATTTCCCAAATCATATTATGTTGATTTTTTCCAAAACTTTCTGTTCTGCTGACCAGTTCGAATAGTTTGTTTCTTTATTAAGGAAAATTAGTTGCAACATAGAAACAATGAAAGTCAAAGCTAGGAAGATCAGTCACTCAAAGACCCAATACATGGACCATCAGTTTTAGCCTCAGGAAGACGGTTAGAATGAAGGTGTAAAGGTTATGGGTGACAGCTTGGAGACAATGAACAGTTTGAAGTAGTTCTATCATAATGTCAAAAGTGAGATTGTCTTCTGATGATTGAACAAAGTTCAACACAATTTGTGAATTCTCAGGTACTGAAACAGTCCAGGTCGAAATACAGCAAGACCTGGATAATATCTAGACTTGGGCTGACAAATGGCAAACAACATTCATGCTACACAAGTGCCAGGCAATGACCATCACCAATAGAAAATAATCTAGCCATCAGCATTCAATAGCATTGCTGTTGGTGAATCCGAGGAGTGATCAATGAACAGAAACTAAACTGGACTTGCATATAAATGCTGTGGCTTCAAGAGCAGGTCAGAAGCTAGGAATTGTCCAGTGACTAGCTCACTTTCTAATCTCTAAAGTCTGTCCACCATCTAGTCAGGAGTGTGATGTAATACTCCCCACTTGACTGGATGAGTGTAGTTCTAGCAAGACTCAAAGAGCTTGACACCATCAACAACAGTCCACTTGACTAGCACTGTATCCACAAACATTCATTCCTTCCACTACTGACATGTAGTAGCAGCAGTATGTACCATCCACAAGAAGCACTGCAGAAATTCATCAGGGTTCCTTAAGCAGCACCTTCAAAAACCACGTCAATACCATCTAGAAGATTAAGGGCCACAGATAAATGGGAATACCACCATCTGCAGATTCCCCTCCAAGCTATTCTCTATCCTGACATGGAAATACATTGGCATTCATTCATCTTGCTGACTAAAATGATTGGAACTTCCTCTCTAACAGCATTGTTATTGTACCTATGCAAACAGACTTCAGTGGTTCAAGAAGGCAGTTCACCACCACCTTCTCAAAGGCAATCAGGGATTAGCAATAAATTCAGATCTAGCCATTGAAGGCCATATCCAATGCATCAATAAAAATAAAGTGGTGGTAGAAGGTATAAATAGAAATGAAGAAGCCGATTAGCTCTGCTTAGAGTAGTTAGAAGTGCAGTGAGAGTTATGGTTTAGAAAAGGATTGCTTCAACTGAAAGGAAGAATCTCCAAGACATAAATAAAACAAAGAAGTGCAAATGCTGGAAATCTGAAACAAAAACAGAAATTGCTGGAGAAACATAACAGGTCTGATAGCATCTATGAAGCGAAAGCGAAGTTAACATTTTGAGTCCAGTGACCCTTTGTCAGAATGGAAGAAGTTTTCTGAAGAAGGATCACTGGACTCAAAATGTTAATTGTACAAGGTAGTTGTAAATATAGTGCAAAAACCTGGGCAACATTACCAAGAAAGTAACTACTGAAAAGTAGAGAGATCTGGATATGGAGATAGACATGTGGAGTGACGAGAAAGGACAATATCAGGAACCAGCACATAAGGTAGTCAGCAAAGATTATGGGAGCAATACAAAATAGCCAAGAAGAGATTTAAATAATACGGTCATTTGTAGCAGACAAAAAGAGGAAATGGAATGAGGATTGATGAAGGTGGGACTAGCAGGGAAAACAGGCAAGCCTGAGTCAATGGAAAGATGGGGTGGCAAGAGATTTAACAGTGATTTTGAAAGGCTGGAACTGACAGGCAGAGATGGACAAAAATGATCAACCAGCAAATTCTGTGTGGTTATGCAAGGTTTTTTATATATATATATATTTATATATGAAAGTTCTCTGTCAGGAAGCTATAGATCATACAGTCTAGAAGAGGCAGTTCACTCCATCAAATCAGTACCACAAAAGCTACATTAGATCTACACTAGTTCCACCTTCTAGTATTACTTCCATAGCTTTGAATGTTATGACATTTCAACTGCTCATCAAAGTACTTTTTAAAGGTTGTCAGGTTACCTGCCTCAACTACCCTCCCAGGCAGTATATTTCAGACACCCACCATCCTGAAAAGGTTTTCCTCAAATCCTGTCTAAATCACCTACCTTTCACCTTAAAATTATACCTGTTATTAGTGACTCTTTAACTAAGGGGAACAACTGCTTTCTATTTACTCTGTCCATGCTCCTCATAATCTTACACAGGAGTGGGGTGGTTAGCTCAGTTGTCTGGACTGCAGGTTTGTCATGTAGAGTGATGTGATGTCCAGGCTTCTATTTCCTACATGAGGTCAAAGCAACACCATGAATTTGCAAATGCTTAAGTATACATTTTTGTTATTCCTAGGAATGAAAGAGATGTTTTACATTCAATATCAATGCAAAATAAACACAATGTCTACAGCAAACTTTCCAGTGCTTTGTCTTGACTTTACTTCTGTATGCACTGGTTACTGAATACTTGATAGTTTGCAAAACTAGGGCTTTTCAGACATAAATCAGATTATGAAAATTTTTAAGCTGATACCTAGAAATGACTTAATTGTGTTACATTTGTCCTTGTGTGAACAATTTCCAGCCGTTACACCATTCAACACATACAACCTGTGTCAAAATGAAAACATTACACTCATACAGTATTTGATGCTCTTTAGAATGTGGACATGGAGCACAAAAGGTGGATATTTCAAATTCTTTACTTCACCTATCCCTTATCTGGGAGGCCACGATGTTGCCAGTAAGTACAAAAATATTAATGCACCAAGGATATCCTTCACCATAAGCAGAAATTTCATAGGTCCATGTAGCAGGAGCTTGCTTTAATTGTCATGTTAAAACTTTAAGTTTTCTTCCAAACATCATCATTGAGTGTCTTGATCCAGAATCTGAAATGTCAGTTTTCCTGCTCCTCTGATGCTGCTTGGCCTACTGTGCTTATCCAGCGCTACACCTTGTTATCTCAGATTCTCCAGCATCGGCAGTTCCCACTATCTCTCTCTCTTGATCCAGAATCTGTTCTGTTGCAAAAGGCCAGAGTGTAACATGTGCATTTTGTCATCAAAAGGTGCCATAATTGTAACAACTGAAAACGCTCGGGCAATTCCAAAGCAAGTAAAATTTTTATTTGAGTAATTATGCACGACTAAGGACCCAACTAGGAGAATGGCTTAGCTATTTGGGCAGTTCAGCTGAAACAAAGTACTTTTGATCCAATCGTTTACAAACAGTAATTTATCAGTTTATCATTACAACAACTGAAGCCTTTTTAGATAACTGCTAATCATTGTACAGCAAAAAAGTGAAAACCATAAAATTGTTTCAATTTAGAGGGATATATACTAATCAAGCAGCGTACAATTCTAAGTTGCATGTTTTCAATGAATTATATTGGTTTTGGTTGGTCACTTAAGTTACCATCATTGCATTTCTGGCAATGGTTATTCTGTGGACCAACATATTCTGATATAAAGATATTTTTACAATGTGTCCTTTGGCTAGTCAGTAATTTACATACATTTCAAATCAAAGCAAACACAAAGCTGTAAACAGATCTTGTTTATTGAGATAAATACAGACAAGCTGCATGAACTTCATAAATCTGTATTGTAAGAATTCAGGATGAGCAATAAGTTGAGATTTCATGGTCTTCTTAAGAGACAGTGATTTCTGTATTACTTGATGTACCCGAATCCGTCTGTCTGAGAGACTGAATAAATTATAACATCGTTTGGTAATATGCTAAAAAGCAAATATAGAAGTTTTACTGACTCATTCATTTTAATATGTTAGTTAATAAGAGAAGTAAAAACTGGATGAATACTGACAAGTTTAACACTAAACATCGTTATCAGATACAGAAATTGCTGGAGAAACTCTGCAGGTCTGACAGTATCTGTGGAGAGAAAGCAGTGTTAATATTTCGAATCCAGTCACCCTTTTTCAGTTCCTTCAGAAAAGTTAAATCTGCTTTTTGTCCGCAGATGCTGCCAGACTTTCTCCAGCAATTTCTGTTTTTGTTTTAGATTTTCAGCATCCACAGTTCTTTGTTGTATCATTATCCCATTTTTCAAGTTCGAATTGCAGTAGTCTTAGTTCAAACGGATTGTCATGTTATAGATAAGGTTCACAGATACTTGGGTGCTTCTGGAAATGGGAAAGTTTTACAATGATACAGTCATAACTCTATTGTTGTGAAGACACCAAATCTATGCACCCTCCCTCCACTGTCTTGACAGCGGATACGGACCAACACTACTCATGGAAGATTCTCGAGTTTTTGGGTGATTTCGCTGGGGTCATGAGGTTTTCTTTTGTCGCCAGTCCCAATAACTTTACTTTCTATCGATTCCTACAAATTTAAATGTAACATAAATTTCTTGATTCATTTTCTGTCTATGTCTTGGCAACATTAACTAGCTGAAGGAAGTCAGGTTTCTGAACAGACAAATAGGAGACTCTGTTCTTCCACAGCAAGCTAGGCAGCATCCGGAGGAAAGGAGCAGCCAATGTTTCAGCTATTACCCAAAAAACCCAAAATGTTGACTGTTACTTTCCTCCAGATGCTGCCTGGCTGGCTGCGTTCTCCCAAACTCCTGTTTGTTTGTCTTTGTTCCAGCATCTGCATTATTTTTTATTCCAACCAGATTTCTGAACAGTTTTTCCAATGCTGAATGGCACATAAAAGACCATCAAAAAATTAATTATCTTTTTCTTCGTGCATGCTTTGCTTTTGTTTAGTATAATCTTCTCCAGGAACATATGCAAGACCATTCTCAATTCCTGCTGCTACTCCTTCAAGACTAGTACATTGACATGATGATTTTGCAATCACGAAAAAGAAATTATAAATCAGAGAATGCAACTTCAAAGTAGGAGAATCTCCTACATACCAACCATGAGCTTAGCTATTTGAGCACAGTATTCCAATTTTTTATTTTAAAATATTCTGATCATTTGAGATTGTTTTAAAAGATTTTCATACAATAGTTTGAAAGGAAAATGCCTGCCAGCTACCAATCTCACTGATCTTAATTAGGTGCTGTATCAGTTGGAGTCATTAAAACATTTCCTGCCAGGCATTTTTGACATACCAAGAAAAAAAAATTGAAAGTATCCAAAAAAAGTCTGTTAAAAACCTCCAGTATTGATCAACATATTAGATGACAGAAATTAGCTTGCAAAGCAGCACAGTCAACTCAAACCCAATGCCCATTCTTCGTCGGTCTTAATATGCCTTGTGACGACCTGTGGATGATGTTCCTTGTCTGATGATGTCCATGTGAACAGAAACTACAGAGGCTCCAGATCGTGGGTGAGATTATATCTCCATCAAGCGATCATTGCCTACTATCACTTCATTCACATGTTTTGCTGCAAGAACAAAGGGAAAGAAGCAGTGAGCATGAAAAAAATTTAAAGTAGAAAGAATTGTATTCTATAACATTAACTTTCAGTAATAAACCTTTTACTTATTTCACCTCTACTTGAAGATATAGTATAAACATCACATTTTTAATGCACGGCTTTGTGAAGCCAACATCTAAGCAGTTAGATAGTGACTGACAGTTTACCACCAAGCTTTGTTTACATTTTAAACCAGACAGGCTGACTGATTAGTCAAGAAATGAAGCAAAGAATGGCTGTCACCTATTTTGTTGAGTTGATATAGATGCAAATATGTCCATGCTCCCTCTATCTGCAAAGAACAAGGTCCTGTATATTAATATGTATAGCTTCTAGTATGGGCAAATGTGCCATACAATCAGCCTGACTGACAGTTAATCCTAAATCAGTTGTCACCATAATTCTTTGCACACTCAGGATTATTTAGGACATCTGTTTAATTGGAGAATCACAATTAATGCACTGATGTATTCTCCATAGCGATGCTTCTATCAATCAAAATCCATTTGCCAACCAATCAGCTCTTTTTCTCTCATACACTATAAGTGTTGTTTTCCCTTTACATCAGCATTTCTTGCAAACTTTCCTAATGAGAGCCAGAAAAGAATCGGTGACAAAATGTGTATTTTTTTTTCAGCAAAACTCAAGCTCTGCCAACCAAATAATGATTTAAGATTATACTCAATTCTCTTTCAAGGGAGAAGGATCATCGAAAAGCATTAATCAAAAATCTATGAAATTTATTTGACTGGTGATCTCACCTTGATAGGTTTGCCTATTATTAGCCTTTTAAGCTTAAGACTATTCCTGCTGTGTCAATTCATTACACTCTATTTTACTTTTAATAAAAGTAAAGGTGTTTCTATGTGGTGTTACCACATAGCCTGCCACTACACACCCACTGTTGCTAGTCACTAACAGTCCCCATTAACAACTATTCACCCTCCCAGCCTGATCATTAGCAACTCCTTTGTCTGTCCAACTGTCTTTCTTTTTCTTTGGGCTCTATCCTATCGTTTACTCCCTACTTTCTGCATATAAACTGATGTTTTCCCAGCCACCATCAGTTCTGAGGGTCACCGGACCCGAAACGTTAACTCTGTTTTCTCCTCCACAGATGCTGCCAGGCCTGCTGAGCTTTTCCAGCAACTTTGTTTTTGTTCCTGATTTACAGCATCCGCAGTTCTTTTGGTTTTTAAAGGTGTTTCTTGACTGATCATGAGTCAGGTAATGATTTATAACTTCCGCTTGGAGACCCTGCAGCCTCTGGGACTTAATATTGAGTTCTAGAATTTTAGAATCTGAATACCTTCTTCTGTGTCCTTTACTCAGTCCCACATCCCAGATGTTGTGATGACATGGGCTGCTTTCAGCACAGCCAACCTATTTTCACCTACTTATAGCCCCAGTATCAGCTTTTCTTTCTCCTTGGTACATCATCATCCATCCCTTTGTCTCCCAACTGTCACTCTCTCTGGGCTCCATCTCCGCCTATCAGCTCATCAACCTCATCCCACTCCACACACCCTGTCATCAGCATATATACCACCTTTTCCTAGCTATTAGTTCCGAAGGAGGGTCATTGGACTCTCCACAAACACTGCCAGATCTGCAATTCTGTTTTTGTAACAATTTACAGCTTCTGGTTTTTAAGATAAAAATGGTGTTACTGTGAAATGATCATTAAGATCAAGGAGGATGGGAGAAACACTTATGAATAATTCAAATCTCGTTGAACTGGTGAACAACATAATTAAGATTGTTGTAGTTTAGACAGTGAAAGAATTTTTAAATGTTATCACATTATGTACAGGTCTAAGTCTTGTCTTTATCACAACCTAATTTTAATGCAATTATAGCGATCTTCAGTACCAAGTTAAGATATGTTATGGAATTTATTCCAGAGCACTGAATAATTTGTTAGCCTCCAGACACAAGTATTTCCTGAATTTACAGACTTTGGAACAATAATCATTATCTTTGCAGGGTTAACAACAACAGTATACACGTATATAAAATTTATTTATGCAGATCTGCTTCATTATCTTATGAAGTACTGTAAATCATTAATAAGAAAGGTTCTAGTTTACAAGTTCCCTTGTAAAAGTCACTAAGTCAGCCTGAAATCCTGTTGTTTGACTCTGTAGAGGATAAAGACCTTGTAAGCTTTTGCCAGAATGGACACTGTTTCTGGCAGATGTTAAGCTCATCTTGCGATGGATTGCGCTGGCTCAGGACAATGACCCTTTTGTATGAAATTCAAATGTCAGGACAACAGAGAGCTTAATGTAAAGCTAACTTCCCCTTACTTTGGGTCGGGAGGAAGAGAAATCTGTTTGCAAGCTCAAGGATAAATTGTTGCTGCCTGTGATAGCTTTTAGTGTAAAAGGTTAGATCCCAGGCCAGGACCACCAAGAAACTCATTTCCTCAGGACCAACTGTTGCAGGTTGGTTTATGTGATTAAACAAACATACTAATTTTTGTATTATATAAAAGGATGATCAAAATATTGTCCGAAATAAATGATAATTTATCTAAGTTTTTCAATAGGAAAGACTGACCAATAGTTTCATTCAACACTGCTTTCTGCAAAAGAATTTATTGATAAAACATTGTATCAGTAATGTATCATACCTTTATATATTTTCAGTTTTGAAAGGAAACCTTTGCATTACTCTGTTAACCTATCTTCATTGTTTATGTTTGTTGCTTCACATAATATAAACAATTCTTGCTCAGGGAACAAAGGCAAACTGTGCCTCGGTTTCTGTCCACTGTTGCTATGTAGTCATCTACATGAGATCATGACATAGTTCGACACACACACAAAGGTCCTTTCTCTCACCTTCCTTTTGGAAGAATCATATTTTATAGAAGTTCTTTTAATAATTTTGTTGGACAATTGCAACCTTGATGATTTTATAATCTACAAAAAAGAGAGGCTCATCTGTGCTTCACACCACACTAAACCTTTCAATTTTTCCTATTTTCTCTCCTTTTCCAAAGATAAGGAGGAGAGAAATTAGTTCCACAAATAGTGAAGCCTTGAGTGACACTACACAAACTTAACATCAGTTCTCTGGTGGAAGGTAGCACTGCAGGCTGCTACCCATGCAGGATTCTTTACTGATATCAGTCTATTTATGAGGTTGGCCCAGTCAATTCCTGGTCAATGGTAAGTGGTTAGATTCTCTCTAATTGGAGATGGTCATTGCTCCTTGTCACTTATCAGCCCGAGTCTAGTGCACACAGTCATGGACTGTTGGATTATCTGAGGAGTTGTAAATTGAGCTGAACACTGCTACAAACAGTGATTCTCCTTACTTTTGAAGTTATAATGGAGCAAAGATGAATGATGAAGCAGCTGCAGAAACTGGGCCTTGGACACTGCCCCGCGAAAGTTCTGCAATGTCCTGTGGCAGAAATGACTGGCCTCCAACAACAAACAAACAACTTCTGTTCTGCTTGGTGTGGCCACTTTATTTAAAGAGGGATGTAAATGCACTGCAAGCAGTTCAGAAAAGGTTTAACAGACATAATACTTGAAGTAAATGGGTTGTCTTATGAGGAAATGTTGGGACAGGCTGGACTTGTACCTGCCGGAATTTCAAAGAGTAAGAAGCGGCTTGATTCTCTTATGAGAGGCAACATCCTCTCCAGATCTACCTTGTCAAGGTCTCCGAGGTCCATAATGTTTCAACCAAATTACCTCTTAATCTTTTAAATTCCAGCAGATACAAGCTTCTTGTTAATAAATGGAGAGCTCCTCTCTTCCCCACCATCCTGATTTCCACTGACTGCCACCAGATATTGTCATGTTACAATCACCTGGGATGCCTGAGCAAACTGCACTGCCCTCCCCTATCCAGCTGACCAGTGAGGCAGATCACAGATCATGCTAGTCTTTCTGTACCATGCTTTAATTTAAAAGGCACATCAAATCCAGAAATGTTACCGACGAAAGCACAAAATCAATCACTATTTTTAACCCCAGCAACCTAATCCTTGGTTCTTTAGTCCGCAGGAACTCTGCAACCATCATAATTGTCACTCCTTGGTGAGAGGGCTTGAAGAAACAATTGTAAAATCTCATTTGATCACTAATTATTTTAAAACTTGAAATTTAGGCACTTAACCTTCATATGCTAACATCACACAAGCAATTACATGGGATATTTGAACACCTGTTAAGCAGTAGTGATGTGCTTTCTGACATTATGATGGAATTGGATTCCAACTGGCATGTTGCACAGCATTATCACATTGTGTGCCATAAGCCACTCCCTGGGATGCTTCAGCAAACTTTCATACCTGACTGGATAGAAGCTTAAAGGAAAGTCATCCCAATTCTAGACTTCATGCATCTGCTGCCCGTGTCCTAGATAGTAAAGGTTGCAAGTTTCGAAGGTGTTGTTGCAGGAGCTTGGTGCATTGCTGCAGATGTACACCGTACACACTCCTGTCACTGTGCATTTGTGGTGGGGGAGTGAACGTTGACGGTGATGGATGAAGTGTCAATCAAGCAGGCTTCTGTATCCTGGATGGTGTCAAGCATCTGGAGTGTTGTTGGAGTTGCATCCAATGAGTGGAGAGTATTCCATCACACTCCTGACTTTTGCCTTGTTGATGGGGGACAGGATTTAGGAGTCAGGTGGCAAGTTATTCACTACAGAATTTTCAGTGTGACTGCCTCTCATAGCCACGATATTTAAATAGCTGTTCGAGTTTGGTTTCTGTTAATGGTAACCACCAGGATGTTAACAGTGGCAGTTCAGCAATGATCATTTCCTGGCATGTAAATGACAAGTCACATTCACACACAAGCCTGAATGCTGCCCAGGTCTTGCTACATATAGATATGGACTACTTCAGTACTTGATAAATTACAAATGGGGCTGAACATGATGCAATCAGTGAACATCATACTTATGACGCAGAGGAGGTCACTATGAAGCTGTCTTTTCAT